ATTATTAATTAATAATAATATAAAATAATATTAATGGTAAAAAAGAAAAGAAAAAACTGATAGAGAATAATAACGACGGACTATATTATTATTACTATGATTATGATTATTGCTACTATTCGCTACTACATCAAACTACAATATCAAAGAAAATCAATGCTAATGTTAATGTGTATTATATTGTACGTACGGCAAAACAGTAAATTGTTATTATTATTATTACTATTGTCGTTGAATATTTAGTAAAGAAAAACTACGTTTACGACCTCCGATCGATCGACCAATCAACCAACGGACCTTCCCCATCCGTCTTTTTCATCCGAATACTTAAATTGCGGTTTATTATTTTTTTTTTTTGTAAATTATCGTATGTATTCAGATGTAAAGTGCTCTTTGTTTTTCTGTTCTTCTGCTTGTAAATAAGTTGAAGTTATATTATAGGCCCGCCCATACTGTTTCTTCCCCCAACCTTCGATCTCCCACTATTTAATACTTTTCTTAATTGTTGTTACGCATACAAGAATGCGTGTATATAAGGATGCGTAAGCGTGTAGTCGGTAGTAATAGGGCGAATATTGACACGTGGGAGCGATTGTGACTCCTGGCTCCCGCTCTGTGTGTCTTAGCGTTTTCGATATTTAAAACGCGCCGGCTCGCAAAGTGTCCGAATAGTTACGAATACATTTGGTAATTCGCGATGTACGTTTCGGTTCTAATCGACTGGAAAGTTGTTACTCGTCAAGGATTCGAAAACAAAACATCCGAGTAATCTCTGAATTAATTGATTCGATCGAAAGCTTGTAAGGTTCGAATAGTCGAGGGTATGGCCGAATGTTTACGTTATTTCTCTATGTTCTTACTATAATGTAACTTCGGTTTTGATCGACATTAGTCGGTTGCTTTGCCTGTCTGGCGGTTTTTGATCTCGAAAACGGCTGTATGTTTTAGTCTAATTTTTTTGTACTGTACATTATCCTATCGTCCTTACTAGTTGGTAATTTAATTTTGTAATGTTGTGTTCGACGTTAAACTAAATCGGCCACCCATCCTCCACCGTAAAAATGGCGTTCGTTGAAGAACGAGACAAATAATAATAGTAATGATAACGTATGATTCGAGGAAGAAAAAGATGATGTATGTGAATGTAGGAGAGTATTTTGCGATTTTCTTTTTTGCGTTGTAAAAAAGATTTTATAATTTGTATTAAACAAAACGCTAGTTGAATCGATTGTTTGAAATATTTACAAATTCCCATACTCTCGACACAAAACACGAGAACACACTGTAAATAAAACAGTTCTTTTTAGACGATTGTAGTTTTATTGTGGTAATTTTCTGTAGTTTTTGACAAAAGGAAAAAAAATCAGAATAACTGGATAAGTTGTAAGTTTTATATGTCTGATTACCTTGTATTTGGAAATCTGAAGTGCGGAATTAGATTGATTTAGAATACCTTAAGGTTTAAGGTATGACAACTTGCTTGTACTTACATTGCTATCGGCTGAGATAGATTTTCGCAGGGTAAATGGACCACTTCTTTTTTTCAGCTACAAAAATATTCAGGTTTTGATTTTCTCTAAGAAATTTTGTTAGAGGTTTTGGCTTTCAAATTCTTTCTCGAAATTAATAGAGAATGTAACGGTAAATTATATTAAAAAAAAAATAAAACTGCTCAGTTAACTTAATAGCTTCAATTTTAGACGAAAATAACTTTAAATATTCTTACATATAAAGATAACCACTTGTATTTTAGTAGGTTTTAATTAGTAGAATTCTGCGTATAAAAAGTCCATGAACAATCCTCCATTTAATTGAAAAAATAGCGTTTTCTTTACTATTTAAATTTTTTATTTTACTAGTCTTATTTTTGAGCAGTACTGTATAATATTCTTTCATCATAACGCGTGTGTTTTGTGTGTTGCCTTCTTGTGCGTATTGTATGTATTCATGTACATAATGATAATGGTATATTTATAAAAAAAAATTATCAGTACTGAATATGTAAATTGCCATTAACTGAAGGTATGCCAATTTGTACAAATATCATTAGACAAATTAAAATAGACTACAGAGTATGCGTATTGTGCAACTGATACGATAGTGTCTCTATCATTTTCTAAAAATAATAAAAAACCTGTTGCATGTTGTTACCTGTTTCTTCGTTAGATGATAGCTTCGATGATAGAAAGGTAAAGCAGCACAGTTGTGATTCATCCGTTGTTTTGTTCTGTGGTGCGTCTTTTATTTAATTTGAAACTCATCCATAGGACAAAGTGATTGTTTTATATTTATAATTTTAGTTTACTGTTTGTATTGTGGTACAAATTAACAAGTTGTTGGTTTTGCGCTATTTATTTAGTTTGCGTTGGATTTGAGGTTAGTTAAACTTTTTGAAATAGTATTGAAATTGGTAACATGCTTTTGTTTTTTTATGATGCAGTAAAAATTATTGTGTTGAAGTAGGTAGGTGATTTTATTTAATTTTTGAGTTTTTAAGTTTTATATATCGACAACTAATAGTGTTTTAAATGAACTATTATTAACCCGGCATTTGAATGAATAGTTTTCATCTTTTACTAAACTGACTGAGTAGTGTTAGTACTTCACATTTCATTGTCAGTCTTATCCAAAACAATGAAATTAACTAGTTTACTTAGGTATTCATTCAGGGATTAATGAGTTTTCGGTAAAAAGTATTATAGTTATAGTCCGTTCACGCAGAGGAAGGTACAGGTTGCCAAATCTAATGGACGAAATACTAAAGGTACTTACGGCGCCAGAGGTTTGCGGTTGGGTTTTGATCCGACAAAAAAAATAGAAATACGCAACCAACTTATCTACAAGGGTATCATAAGTACCTTACATTTTACAAACTAAGAAATTGGAGTTACGATATTGTGTGAAAAAAGTCTAAAGTAAATTAAGAATAGGTACAGTATTAGTTATTGAAAGAATTCACTCCGCAGTTCTTATTGTACACGTTAAATTAAATAGATGAAAACGTAATTTGCCTAATTACCTATAGATAAGTTACAATTAAATATGTACATTAAAATATCATAATGCGACTTACTTCATAATGTACTGTACTATACCTATAGGGTGGGATGTGGGACATATTAGAACTATAAATATTAAAGATTTTTGAAGAAAAAACATATATATTTTTGGTGAAACATCCGTATCATCGCTTTTTCGAAAATATTTTTTTTTTGGAAATTGCTCAATTGTAAAGACTACATAAAAGAATCGGAGGATGATGCTTTAAATCATTTTTAAATAAATAATTTATAGGTACCTTTGTGAGTCTGATTTCTAAAAGTAGGGCAACCAGTATTGTTTCAGGATAGGAAGTAGACAAACTCATAATTTCCCTTGTAATTCTATAATAATTCTTTGTTTTTATTTAATTTTATGCAATGCATTAAAATCTTAGTTAGAATTTTAACCACTAGAAGTCGTGATCAAATGGTCAGTTCCCAATAGAGTGTATAGGGGTCGTATAAAAGACATTTGCCAGTATTATTGCATCCCATTGCTTTTTAAATAATGTGTTAAGTTTCGCTAGGTTGTTACGTTACTTTTTTTCAATTTGTATGTTTTTTTCTGTATGTGTATTGTTATTTAAGTTAGGGTAGCTTATTTTCTTTTTAGTTTTTTGGTGTTTTTCACACTGTTTGATATTCGATATGGATATTTAAGCTATAATGTTTTTTTCTAAAATATTTCTTAATTTTTAAGTTGCTAAAACGTCTACCACCCCTAAAGCGCACTTAAAAAATTAACGAATCTTGCAATTTTTTTTTGTTTTTGTTAAGATATATACATAAAGGTTCGGTTTTCAATTTAAATTTCGATAAAAAGGCATATATAGATTTTTTTGAAATGGCATTTACATAAAAAAATATTAGAACCTAATGGATTATATTTTATTGATATGATTACATAGAAGTGATGTGTGTGGGTAAAGTAATATTAATAATAACATTTTTGTGACGTAACAGGAAAATTCAAAGCGATTTTTCAACGAGAATTTATTTCTTGAAACTGCTAGTTTGTTTAATTTAGATAGATATAAGGTGCCCAATATCGATATTAGCAACAGTTGTGAATAAGTCCACTATTCTGAAAATTTGTTATCAAACAGATAACGGAAAGATTAGGAGCTTATAGGCGTCAATACTCCACCTTTTACTGGTATCGATGAAAAACCATTTGTAACTGTTGAATTAGGTTGATCATTTAGTGTACTGCATAGTTCCCGTCTGTATTTTACTTTTGGTAAGTTTTAAAGTTCATGTTATAAAATAAACAATTTTTGCTATTAAAAAATAAATTATAGAATATCAGGTACCTACATGTTGCATTAATATAAAATAATTTGTGATAGAATCTTCTACTGAAATTAGTTTTAAACCGCTACTGATATCTTTTGATCGTCGTTATTCATAAGATGACAAATCAATTTAAATGTTCTCTTTTGAGAATTATGTTAAGTATACCGAACTGTGATATTTTATGTATATTTTTGAATTTTGAACAAGATTGCCATTTTTTAAAAAACTATATTGTATCTAATCTACTTAATTAATGCTTTTAATAGTGGAGGTTCAATAGAAACTAGGAATGTGAACTCTGTTCTCTGCATCTATTTTCTAAAATAAAAACGTAATATGCAGATCTAAAAATATTGCTTATGATTAGATCGGTTTTAAAAAAAACTATTAATTTTGGCCATTTTTTTATGATGTACCAGAATAACTCATTTTTATACCTCCAGTAGTAAAAACAGGATTTTCATATAAGGTTATTTATAACCTTTATAGCCCCTTAGTTCGGTCCTGTTACTTTTCGCTAGTATTGTTTAGAATAATGACGAACCCAAATGATCTTGCGGGCCACCTTGGAAATAAATCATGATTTCGCAAACCGCATATCCTAATCCTAATTATCCTAAGTAATGTAATATTTATAAATGTGAATGCGAGTTTGTTTGTTTGTCGGTTTTTGACGTCTTAATTACTCAACCGATCATTAAGGTTGTTACGTTACTTTTTTTCAATTTGTATGTTTTTTTCTGTATGTGTATTGTTATTTAAGTTAGGGTAGCTTATTTTCTTTTTAGTTTTTTGGTGTTTTTCACACTGTTTGATATTCGATATGGATATTTAAGCTATAATGTTTTTTTCTAAAATATTTCTTAATTTTTAAGTTGCTAAAACGTCTACCACCCCTAAAGCGCACTTAAAAAATTAACGAATCTTGCAATTTTTTTTTGTTTTTGTTAAGATATATACATAAAGGTTCGGTTTTCAATTTAAATTTCGATAAAAAGGCATATATAGATTTTTTTGAAATGGCATTTACATAAAAAAATATTAGAACCTAATGGATTATATTTTATTGATATGATTACATAGAAGTAANTTCAATCAGTTTAATTCCACTTGGGATCTACTCTTTAAGGTAAGATCGTAAATGCATTTTACATTAATATAGCTTAAGGATTATTAACTATTTAAAATTTGTTATTAACTGCAATTATAAGAATCATAAATAAGTCTAAAAACAATTTTAGGATTCCACCCCTGGTTTGGACAGCGCTCAGTCTCAAAATCAGTACGTAACAAACTACAAAAACCAGGTTTCTGCAGTGTGTTCCACTTCTTTAAGTACAAAAACCGCCGCATCTTTGCTCACTATATTTTTAGCAATTTTATCAGTAAGACTGAACTTTTAGAACATTTTAAATAAACATCTTAACACTTGTGGAAGCATGCAGTCATTGTTGTCTTATACTTAACTGCCAACAAATATTTTTACTAATGATAGTTCTAAAAGAGAGTATAATTGATTAAATAATTAATAAAAACTTTTTCGTTGACAACGAATCGATTGCATGTACGTTGTAAGATTTACTAAAGTATTTTTGTTGTTTTGAATAATTAGATTACTTTTATATGGCATCGAATTAAGACCAGTTACAGTAATGGTGTTTTTCGTGTTCAATTGTTTTTTAATATATTAATTTTCATTACTTTGACCATTATAAAATATATTTTGTGAAACTGTGATGAATTTCGCGGGTCGAAAATGTTCCGCGGCTTGGCTTTGATTGATTGATTGATTGGTTTATATTATAGGGAAAAAATAACGCAGTAGTGATCAACCCAATAAATGCCCCTTTTTTGGGGTCCAGTGTTGTTAGCGGTTACCAATTTGTCCTGCTTACACTATTGCAATTTTTTTAAAAATACATTTTTTTTAATGTTTCGTAATTAAAAATGAAATTAAAGATTCTCGAGTCAAGTCACAGCCATTTTTTTTTTGTTTATTTTGTAGCAGTAACTGTTAAAAATAGGTACCTACTTTCGATAAACATTTATTACATTACTAGCGTGACGTGTCGTATGAGATACTGTCGTCTTATTAAAAATTATCCTGATAAATTTTATCATTTGGAGTTTCGTTTTCTTATTCATTATTGTGATATAATATAATTACAAACATACAGGCGTGTTCTATTTATCATACTCAACAATTATATAAATCGATGATTTTTTCATCATTTACTAGGTTTTCCCCGCGGTTTTGCTTGCGTCGTTCAAAATCGTATCAAAAATCATTGACGACCACATAAAACAAACATTGTTCAAAAGTGAATTTCGATCACTTGAAGCAATGGCGCTAACAGTTTCGAGCTCACAGTGGCTGGAAGGGGGGAGAACTTGTCTTATAAAAAAAAGAAATTATGAGTGCTGTCGGCACAGGGCAAAGTAGTATACGTGTTAGTATTAGCAATTTCTTATGCTGAAGTGTACGATGTGTTGCATACCTACTTACAAATAATTTCTTTAAATTTAATTTTTCGAACAATTTTAAACACAAAGAAAGTGATTAAACAAATCAAGAGAAAGGTTTATATGTATAATACATGCATGATATAGTAGGGAAACACTGATAATTTTAGAGGTTTCTAATGTGATGTCGTAAATAAACACATTTTTTGCGCTTACAGTGCAAACGCTGGCTGAACCCTACGAGATAGATCAAAATAATGTACTACAGTATTGTACATCGTAAAAGGGTCTACAAAAAAGTCCGGGATGGTATATGTCTATCTCTTAGGGATAACCCACAATAACCATTTTTATCCTTTACTTTTTATGAGAAATAATGACTTATTTACGAAGCGATTGTAGGCAATACAGCATTAATTCTTATCCAATTAAGTACCTTAAATACATTGTGCATTTAATATAGATCAATATGGCCCTTTACAGCATGTAATTTAAATGAATATTTTCGAAGATATTACAGATTTAAAATGCAGGGACATAGCGGTTGCGGCGGTACCGGCCGGGAGGCCGGTTTGTATTGTCTAATGACAAAAAAACTGTGAATGTTGTATATAAAGACATTCTGTAGTATATTTAGTATGTTCAGGGGGTATCTTTTGAAGATTTCCCCTTTTCGATAATAATCTAAACAAAACAAAAATATATTTAGTATCAGCATTGCACCCGTGCGAAGCTGGGGCGGGTCACTAGTAAACAATAAATATTAACATAAAAATGATTTCAGGTTTTACTTTTTTATGATTAAATATATTTTTAAGTGTCCAACAAACTTCATTTTCTTAAATTAACCGTGATTTTATTTTAAAAAAGATCAGTTTAATTAAAATTTGGAATAATATCATGGATTGAATCATCTCAATCTTGCTCATATTTAATAGTATGGTAAATTATATTCCTTATTTTTTTGCCAAGTACCTACCTATTTTGCGTAGCGTATGTCTAGAAATCATAAAAAAATTGCTCTTTATCAAGTTAATTATTTTTTGAAACATTTCCAATAACACATATGCTATAATATAAATTAATGTACGTACATTATTTAAAGAATAGTTTTGTTTTTGTTAGGTTGTGACAATGGAATATAAATTTTGAGTATTGCATTGAATTCATTGAATCAAATTTCTAGCAGTTCTGTTTGGTTTGAACGTATTTATCTGATGAAACATTATTGAACCGTTTGTGCTGTTTTTATAATAAAATTTTATTTTTGGAATGTAAACAAGTGTGTTACATGCTGCCGAAACATTTTCGGTTTGTTATGATCGTTTTTGCATTTTATTGCATCACAATTATACACAGATTATGCCAATTCATCATGGAATGTCCACTTTATACAAATCTCTATTTTATTACAAAAATACATACAAATGAACAATAAATTATTTGAAAATTAGAGGAGATGGGTATATAAGGGTATATTGAAAGAGAATAAAGGCTAAGAAAATACATACAGGGTGTTCCATTAAAAAAACCGACTTACGATTGTTTGAAGTTAAACAAATCCACCACTAAATATCTAACACCCTGTACGTAATTTACCCTTGAGGGTATAGCTATCAGCTACCTCTTCTGAAAATATTGTTGGTCCAACTTATATTATTCTGTTAATTTTTTATAAATGTCCCAAAAACGGTAAATTTTAGACGTAGAAAAGTCTACCTAAAATCGTAAATAGAATTCAAAACTGTCATTATATACATAATTTTACTATTTTTAATGATACCATTTAAAATAACGAAGTTACTTCTATGCTCGCGAACGATTAATTTAGAAATTCGAAAAAGGTTGTTAGAGGTGTATGTTTGGAGCACGGCGCTGTATGGGTGCGAAACATGGACAGTGGGCGCGGCGGAAAAGAGAAGGTTAGAAGCGTTCGAAATGTGGTCTTACAGACGAATGATGAGGATACCGTGGATAGAGAAGGTTAGAAATGAAGAGGTATTAGAAGGAATAGGATAAGATCTAGTCAGAGACATATTAGAGGCAGAAACATGGGTTAGAAGGGGTAGAGATTGATAGGACTGACGATCTTATGATGATATGATGATGATGTCAACTTCCGGTGTAATCGGAAGTGCTAGACAGATGCCGTTATTTTAATAGAGGATATCATATCCAATAACGGCATTGTACAAATCTTCGAATTTTAAATCGAAGTAGTTTTCGAAATATTCTCATGGGTGGTCACCGTGAGACACCCTGTATATGTATATTCTTGTTCAGCGTAATGAGATGGAATTTGTAGATTTATTTCGTAAGGTACAAAACAAACTTTAAGTGATGATGTCATCCTTACTTAATAAAATAATATTAGTTACACATTGGAAATTGTACTTTCGTGAAATAAAACGGATAAGTACGAAATGTAATACAAAAAATACGTACCTAAGTAAATGCATAAAGTATTTCCCTTTTCTCGCATATCAATATGTCATTGTAAATTGATAAGACCTAACCGCCAGAGCACGCAATTTTGATTGAAATAAATACATTATTATTTATTACTATTTTCTTATACAGGGTCTGTTAAAGAAACTGCGATAGTTGCTTTGATTTACAAAACCTTCAGAATATACAGAATGAAAATAAGTTTATAATGTTATTGAAGGTACTATGTATTATGTAATAAAAAAATTAGTTAGTGTACTTCAATATAATATAATAAGATTTTTGGAATATCGAAGTTAATAAGAAATTGAAAACGAAGTTAGGCAACCCACTTTGCAAATTTCCGAAAAGTATTTTAAACACTAGCTATTGATGTTCTTATCTAATTTTTTAACTCTTAAATTCAAAAGGAAAAATGCTAATAATTAATTTGGTATTATATGCACACCTTATCAATTTGATAAAATCAAAATTATCTCAAAGTAATACTTACATACATACGTGTTATATGTATATTATAAAAGAGAATTTAGTATCTATAAAACGAAAACAATTTAATTTAAAATTAAAGATAATTGAACACCATTTGAGCATTTTGTTTCATATTTTTAACATTTCACAAGTAGGGTGGAGTGTTTGAGATATAAATGCGACAAAATTGTGACATTCTTTTTATTTGATCATATCTACATAATACAACAAATTTATATTTCATTTTTATATTTTAATGAATATTTTTAAATTTCCACTTTAAGACGTACTACAAATATGTGTACATTCCTCGTATAAATTATCAGATAAGTCTTTTTCATTATGGTATAGCCGTGTACAGGAAGGACATCTGCGGTATCTCGTATCTTCCTTTTAGAAGTGTTATTAGAATGTGTTTTGTTCTCTTCTTCAAAGTGTCCGTTGGTCATTAATTTCTTCAAAAAAACAAACCTCTTCCTATTTGCAAAATGTTCAGGTTTTTCAGGTATTCTACTATATTTTATTATATTATTTATAGTGTATACTAGTTAATAGAAAGGCTTTGTTGGAAATTCGCGAAGCGCAATTTTTGGAATGATTTTGTATTAATTGATAGTCACACGTTTTGTGATTCAGCTAAAAAAAGTAACACATTAAGAACTTTTTAATTTATTAGATGAAAAATATAATAGAAATTTTTCTTTAATAAAACATTACACTGAATATTCAGTGTAAGTAAACTAAATGTATAGATGCATACATACGTAAGTGTACTTTGGAAATAATTTTTATTTTTGAAAAACCCCTATAATTAGTTTATTTAAATAGATACTTATAGTCAGGGCCGCCTTTAACCTATTTGAGGCCCTGGGCACATAGGAATTACAGGACGCCTATGGCATTGACAGTAGACTATTTTGTTGATACAATCAAATACAGTGGATAAGTAAATTAAAATGTATTTAACAATTATTTTTATTTCTTTACAGTCACAATTAATGAAAAGATAATTGGTTAGTAGTAGATACCCTTTTAGTTTTGAGATAAGCAAAATCGTCAATCTCATGTTCAAAGTTTGTCATTGAGCATATCACATTCTATTTTGATTTTTTTTAATTTGGAGAACGACCGTTTCTCACTGTTATCAACATGCCTAGAAAGAAATTAAAAATTTCTACATTTGGAAGTGTATCTTTTTTTTCTTCAAAAAATGATAAATTTTCACTACGGGCAGTTTTCAAGTTTTCTGCTAAATGCACACACATTTTATTTCTAACTCTTTCTCTTTAACGTCTTCGTAGTAGATTCCAGCAATTTTTTCCAATTTTGTCTCAACATTTTGTATTTAGAGTTTTCAAACGAAAAAATCAACTAAATCGAAGATTAATGTCCTTGTACGAATTCAATTGTTCCATTTTTTTTTGTTGAAAATACCAAGTTTTGTTTACAATTTCACTTAGCATTATGATATACTCGTATGTAATGTTTGAAGAATCATCTACATTTAGCTATTATGTAAGTTTGTGAGTAGATATTCCATTCAATAATTATTGGTTTATTTCTTCAAAATAAACAAATGGAAAAGTGGGGTCTGCTTGTAGTAAGGGTGTTTTTTGCATGTAATCCTGTCAGTCACTTATATTCCAAAAAAAGGGTATAAAATTACAATCTGCGTGTTTGATTTTGTTGATTTGATTATTCGATCTATATCTAGATTAAAACTGGGTCACTTTTTATTTGATTGTGAGAATGAAAAGTCAAATTAAAGTTTCTTTAAACAATTTCTAGAATTACGTTCCAAATACCGTACATGAAGATAATATTTAATTAATATGTGGAGGACATAACGTACAGTATATGTACATAATACATTACAAAGAAATAATTGCAACTGAAATTTAATCGGTGATAAGCATGCTGCATTTTATTTGTAATTTTTGCCTTCATGTGAGACCGAAGCAGTATCTATTTTTAAGTTCTGATATTTCAATTATGGCTGATAAATAATTCACTGATAATTTGTATTTGTTATCATTATTGATAAATTACTATATTTTTATAAGGTTTTTATATAAACCATAAAGTTCTTCAAAATTGAATTGAATTGATTTTAAATAATAATAATTAATAAACTAATATTAATCTTATTATTCGTATTATTACTACTTATATGAAGATATTTAGAAAAATTAAATAATTTTTATTTAATTCACTGGTCTGATCCATCCAAAATTGTCTTATATATTTTTTAATCAATGGTCTGTTGATCATTAAAGATAGTAAAATTTTGTATTTGACTTGTTAAAGGTTTTCAAAATGAAGAAGTGGACATTTTCGATTGCAATGGTTATATTGCTTTACGTAGGGCGGAGAGCAAATGCACAACTATCTAATAAATGTAAGTACTTAGTAAAAGTTTATTATTGGAAAATAGGGATTTAAGTAAATGTGGGTAAATAGTGAAATCAATATAGTTTTTAATTAAATAATTGACTTTTATTATCTTGCTACATTTTAATTTAATGTTAGAACTTTTCGATATTTTTCATTTGAAAATTTTTTATCTTTTCAGTTAAAGTTTGTGCCAAATTTGGCACATACAATGAATGTCAGCAACTAGACCGCACAAACGAAATTGAATGCAAAAAGAATTTTCACAGGTAAGTTATAATAAATAATAACTAAGTACATGTAGTGCAGTCAAATTTCCGATTAGTAAAAGAAAATTGTATACTTTTGAAACTTGGCTATAATCTCTTAATGGGATTTCCAATAGAGGCTAAAAAAGTGAATGGAACAGTTCTAAAGTGGCGAAAATACAGCCCCAACATGTTCTTGAGGGTGTTTTTCCCCATTTATCATGTAAACGGTGACTTCGGCGGGAAAGTCATCATTCTAACAATGTTCCTCATTAAATTTTATATATGAAGATTATGAATTATGATTATATATGAACAAAAGTTAACTTAAATAATATTTTTACTAATAATTTCAGCGTCGATTGTTTAATAAATGTCAACTCGGGGGCTAGTTCTTTTGGGAGTGTAACAGCAGAAGAAGCACTTTTAGCAAACCCCTTTCTACAAAATGTTGTAGTTTTGGGTGAATACAGATCAGAACCCTATTTGGGTAATAAATACACTAAGCAATATAATAAATACCATTTTTAATAAATTTTTGTTACGTTTCAGATGATTCAGTGTTTCAAACAGTGGTTCTGGTGAAATCTACTTATTCTGGTGGGTTTTCTGGTCTAAGTGGTGCTAGGTACTGTCATCCCGGATTTAAATACGACTTGGAGGTGACTGATTTTCTTTTGAAAGAGTTTGAATTGCAATTATTTAATTCGACTTCCTTAAATCTGTGTAATGCTGAAACAACTACATCAACCCTCGTGGAGAAACACGTTAAAACCCTTGCTGACTTCTTTGGACCTTCTTGTAGACCTGGACCCCTTACAGAAGATGTAAGCTTCAATCAACAACTCAGTAAGTTTTTTCCATTAAAACTGTTTTTTATAATGTAAATATGTTGGCTCGCAGCTAGTTTAAAAAAATGGCTAGACAACTAAGAAAACGGCACCGTTATCTAGAGGCTCATAAAAAATTGTATGAATTTACACCGTGCATATTTTAAAATAATTTTTAAAGGTGACTGATTGTCAATGATAGATATGGGAGGTTGTTCTAAGCAATGTTGGGTATACCTTGTATCAAAGTTTCCCTGTTTCTATATTATTTGGTGCTTTTTAAAACAAAAATATTTGCAGTCATAGAGTTGTCAATAACTTACTCGTAGAATATATGAATTTTTGATACAAATAATATTTCAATAGAAAGTAGTAGTAGTAGTAATAGTATAGTAGATCCTTGTACATATATTTTTTTATTTGTTATTTCTTTTAGAGGAAAGTTATCCATCCTTGTGCGAATTGTGTTCAGATAATTGTGCACCATTCACTGATCAATTGTTCATGTCTTCATTGATCTGCCTTACACAGAAGAACGGAGACGTTGCAGTATCTTCGTTAAACAGTGTTCGAAACTTCTTCAACATTTCAGATAATAAAGATAAGGCACAGAATTACAGATACTTGTGTAAAAATGGGACAGTTACTACTTTGGATAATCCATGCGTTTGGTCTAAACAGCCATGGGACTTGTTAATAGCCAATAAGTAAGACATATGTACATACTATAATTTTTTATGCCAAAAACCAATAATTTTTTTTGTAATCTAAACAAGTTTTAAATTTTGAATTTTCATTTACATACTATTAATTATCAAATTCCTTCATGACTTGTAATGATTTTTAACTTCCCATTAGGAAGTTATTGTAATTGGGTCGAAAAGTGAAATCGGAATTTTCATTATATTTCCACGTTTTAACATATTAGTAGCATGCTAGCCAATTTTTTTGATGATGTGTGTATGTACGTACGTACGTACGTACGTACGTACGTATGTACGTACGTTCGTATGTCAGCATTTTTTTCGTTTTCGATATCTCAAGAACGGATTGAGATATCGCCCTCAACCAAAATTTTTTCGAAAGATATTATCATAATGAAGATCTGAAAGAAATTTGAACGAAATCGGTCAAGCCGTTTTTTTTTTATAAAAAAAAAACGAATTAATTACAAACAATTTAATTAAAATACGTTCTAATCTAATCACAACAATGAAGTTACGGAATCAATAATAACTGTATTATCTAATGGGAAGTTAGTCGTATTAGCACCGACCAAAGCGTGCTCAGACCAATTTTATTTTACTTATTTTAGTGACATTAAGGACACTCTTTTGCCTCAAGTGAAGGTTTGGTTGCAGTCTCATTCAATATCTGAAGGTGGATCTTACAGCGCTGGTAGCCCTCTTAGTCCAACTTCTCGGGAGAGTCTTATTAGCGTTTTAATGCCTGAAGATAGGAAATTTAAAAAAATTAAATTCTTTGACAATCCTGTTAATTTAACGACCTATTTAAGTGGTAAGTACAAAATAATTAATTGTCATTTTCGAATCTTCTATTTTGTGTTAATTGTATTTTTGGAGTTTCTATCACTTGATTAGTACTATTGTACCTCCAATTTGGTATGAAATTCAGAACTTATTTTCTTTATTTATAACCGGTATGTGTATGATGGTTGATTGTTTGATTGCTTTGGAATTCACCGTCGATTTGTCCATAATAATATACTTACTTTTAATTTTTAGCTTTTTGTAACTCCTTTACATATTTATTTCTCTTTGGGACTCACTGCTACTGGGTCTATAAAATATTGTACATTTAATTCCAGGTCTTCGAAATGTTTCCACAGCAACTGAGGCTGTTCAGTGTGGCACAACAGTCAATTGGTGTACCGTATCGAATGCAGAACAGGAGAAGTGCAACTGGTTGGCACAAGCAGGAGCGAATAGGGGGATCCAACCAATTGTAAATTGTGTACAGGCCACGGACAAACTCAGTTGTATCAGCCAAATTTACAATGGAGTTGTCGACGTTGTTGATATTGACACCAACTTTGGGTATTTGGCAAGAAGGTAAAGGTTTTTATATTATGAAATATGTCAGTACAAAAAGGAAATTGATGAACATGTATTATTTTGGAGGGTTACTTATATATGCATTACGATATACTTTTGTTTACAGAAATGGCCTTTCTGCACTGGCCTTCGCAGAAACTGTAACACGAAATTTAACTACGGTGCTAATCGTTGTTAAAAGCAACACAACTGATATTAACATTGAAGGACTTAAGGATAAAAAGGGATGCTTCCCTGAATATGCAGGAATTGGTAAGTACAGTGAAGATCGCTAGTAGCAGATGCAAAGAATGTTGATGTTACAGTAGTCGCCAGTAATGTGCAAAATAAAACACGAGTTTAAAAGGAATTAATGTTCAGTTTTGAAAGTGTACATTATTGTAATATCAGTTACAAAAATTATATACTTTCTTATATTTGCTATGCCCAATTAGCTTTCAAAACAAACAACACAACACGAATACTATAAAAATTTTTAATATATATTGTAAACTAGCGACCTGGCCATGCGTTACTGTGGCTCATTAGTTCTAAAACTTGAATGAATGTTATAGGTACCGCCAAAACCAAACGGTTAGGTCGACATTTTATTCGACCCCCCCTCCTACTCCCCCTTTATCAAAGTTGGCCCTAAGTTCCGCCTATAATAGATAAGATTTATGAGGCGGGACTTGTTCTTGAAAGATCCAGAATGTGACGTCTAGAAAATCTCCTTCTCACTTTACATGTTAAGTTGCCTACGGTTGTCTACATGTCACAACATTTATGGAACTTAGAAATAATTACAAGCTACTGTCCTATATAATAAATATTAACGTCAAGAACTACCCTATGATTTACGTTCGACCAAATTACACACAGTTTTTACAAAAATTGGTTATGTAGTTTCTAAGTTTATATAATTTCATAATGTAGACTACATGATAAAACCTGTTGAACTGTGTCTTCCTACTTTTTCTCCCTTTTTGTTTCTCTACTTCTTTAAGCGCTAACTGCAGACATCATTGATTGAATGGCGACCGCTTCACCGNGTTTCGACTAAGAAGTACTAGTATTGTGAATGTACTTTTGAAAATTTATACTTGTTAGTCGAAACAATTGTCGAGGTATTAACAAAATATGTTGTTGAAATATTTACTGTTTTGATTCTCAAATATTAAATATGTTTCATCACACCACTATAGTTGAGTTATGTAGTTTCTAAGTTAATATAATTTCATAATGTAGACTACATGATAATACCTGTTGAACTGTGTCTTCCTACTTTTTCTCCCTTTTTGTTTCTCTACTTCTTTAAGCGCTAACTGCAGACATCATTGATTGAATGGCGACCGCTTCACCGTCCCAACTTTCTATTACGCCAATCCTCCACATTCTTTAATTTACTCCCTTGTTACTAATATTACACTACTAATAATTCGTAATTATGGATAATATAATTACAATTATATTGTAGAATGGTTGGCGTTTGCAAATAAAATCCGGCCCAGGTCAACTTGTGACTTGGAAGTGGTAGTGAGGGATTTTGTTGGGGATTCTTGTATGCCAGGTGCCCACTCCAATGATCGCAGACCTGTCAGTAATGGCTACGATTCAAAATTGTGTGGATTGTGCCAAGTGAATCCAGCTAATCAAGGATCAAGTAAGTTAAACATGCATACAAGTCATTAATCAATTGTAGGTATTTAGTTTTTAAGCTTTTTGCATTGAGAATTTTTTGTGTCCCTACATCAAATTTGAAAGAAGAAAAAAGGAAGAAGTCGGTATGAATGTGAGAGTGAAGTTCTTTTGTGTAAAACTTAACCCGTTCCTGGTGTTCCACCTTTGAAATTTGTTTGTTCTTTTAGCTGCCACAACTTGTAATACTGATTCAACAAATCTGTTTTATGGGAACGAAGGTGCCTTAAGGTGTCTCCAATCTACCGGAGAATTTGCCGTCATTAGTAAAAACAGTAAGTTACCTATATCAATTTCTAACTTATTTTTATTATACATAAATTATGCTTTATTTTTTTAAAATGTTAGATTTTTACTTCTAAACCCTCCATTCCTCCTCATCATCTACTGTTGTGTATAATTTATGTTTTAATTTTTTCACAGATTACAATGTTGACCCCAACGAGTTTAGAGTTTTGTGTGCGAATGGATCTCTGGCGTTATATACTGGATTTAATGTTGATCAAAATTGCGCCCTCACGGTTGTTATTAACAGTGAAGTCATTGTAAAAAATAGTAATCCAAAGATAAAGGATTTATCAATCGCCATATTCGAATTTGAAAGGTGGTTTGGGCAAGACAGTAGGAAACCTTTCGAGTTGTTCAATCAGTTTAATTCCACCTGGGATCTACTCTTTAAGGTAAGACCGTAAATGCATTTTACATTAATATAGCTTAAGGATTATTAACTATGGATGCTGTAAGCACATAACTCCGCACAAATTTGTTATTAACTGCAATTATAAGAAACATAAGTCTAAAAACAATTTTAGGATTCCACCCCTGGTTTGGACAGCGCCCAGTCTCAAAATCAGTACGTAACAAACTACAAAAACCAGGTTTCTGCAGTGTGTTCCACTTCTTTAAGTACAAAAACCGCCGCATCTTTGCTCACTATATTTTTAGCAATTTTATCAGTAAGACTGAACTTTTAGAACATTTTAAATAAACATCTTAACACTTGTGGAAGCATGCAGTCATTGTTGTCTTATACTTAACTGCCAACAAATATTTTTACTAATGATAGTTCTAAAAGAGAGTATAATTGATTAAATAATTAATAAAAACTTTTTCGTTGACAACGAATCGATTGCATGTACGTTGTAAGATTTACTAAAGTATTTTTGTTGTTTTGAATAATTAGATTACTTTTATATGGCATCGAATTAAGACCAGTTACAGTAATGGTGTTTTTCGTGTTCAATTGTTTTTTAATATATTATATTAAGCCATTGATTTTAATAAAAATAAATTTAATTACGTGTTTTTTGAATATGTATGTATTAACATGGTATTATTTGAGGACGTTCCTACAACTTTTTATACATACAAGTACAGTAGTATTACTTATACATTTTATCGTAGAGCATGTATAAAAAAATAAAACATTTACTTATTGTACAAAATTTAATTGTTTTTTAAGATATAATAAAATATATAGATAAACATATATTTACTTAACAGAACGTACAAAGTGCATGTACTGTTTTCCTTGATACAGCAGAAATTTTACATAATGTCTGAAGACTAACATATTCAGATATTTTGTGACACTCCTAGGCGCTTTACAAAACGCTTATGGGCGTTTGGGCTTATTACTACACATTACGTAGGTTTTAAATTCCTTTGGTAATAATATATTTTATTTTCTGTTTTGCATTTGTATACTTTTGTTTGTTTGGTCGGTCGAAGCGGTAGAACTTTGACCTTGTAGAACACTAAACAAGTCTTTAAGTATGAACGGAGGGGAGGAGTTACTGAGTTAGGGTTGAAAAATTAAAAATTTGAAAAAGCAGCTAACCTAATTAAGTTTAAATAAAGGATATTTATCAGAATTACAAAGAAAGATAAGAAAGAAATTATTAAATCTTTTGTATAAAATGATTCATGTAGCATATCCACGACGATAAATTTAATTCTGTTAATTTTTATTTATTATAGTTCGTTTTCTTTATTTTACGTGCAGCTCAGAAAAAGTCGTAGTTTATCTAAAAGCTATTTATAAATACTGATAAAAAGAGACAGGCAACGACTTTGAAGAGGTCACAGGTCGAATTACGATGTTCAGTATGTTGTAGTTTAAGTAAAACATGTTTTCGTTTCGCTGTGCTTATTATACGGTAAATTAAATATAATATTAAATTAAATACGAATTAATTGATATGCTATATAAATAATAGCAATTACTGTGTTGTGTGGTTGTGGTGTAATTATAGTGACTAAATAGTAAGTGATAAGGATGTGTTCGTATGATTACGAAGCCTGTTGTTTACAATTGCAATAAATTAAATGAGAGGTAAGTGAGTAGTAATAGTTATGATATTGCAGTATTATACAATTTCTATCAGTTTATGTAGGGATACAATACAAAAGAACAAACGTGTAAATGGATCTTTGTAGTGTTTCAGCAAGTACAGTTGCCTACATAGACAAAGTTACATCTTAAGTAGATGTCGAGTTCGCTGATGTTAATTGTGTACTGCTGACAATTAAAGCTCATAGATAATTAAAGCTACACATCATATTTATTATATTCAACTATAGTTGACGTTGAGGGTGGGTTATGAGTGTCGAAACGCGCTTTAGAGTTTTATACGCTTTTGTGTTGAATTTGGGATTTTAGTTAATATAATTCACAAATTATATCTTATTATCCTACAAAATATAATTGGAAGTAAATTTAAGTAATTTAAACTTATTATTCCACATAAGTTTTGGAAACTAAGAGTAAATAAGTAGATTATATTATTGTAATAGATTTGTGGAGGGTATCGCACAGTTCCGTGTATACACAGGGTCACAGGAAATTCTGTGTATTCCTTTGGAGGGATTAAAGTAGAGATAATTTGCGATCGATTTTGGCATGTAGTATCCCAGCCGATATCTATTTAGTATTTGAGAATCAAAACAGTAGATATTTCAACAATATATTTTATTAATCACTCGACAATTGTTTCGACTAAGAAGTACTAGTATTGTGAATGTACTTTTGAAAATTTATACTTGTTAGTCGAAACAATTGTCGAGGTATTAACAAAATATGTTGTTGAAATATTTACTGTTTTGATTCTCAAATATTAAATATGTTTCATCACACCACTATAGTTGAGTTTAACATATTTCTTAAGTTTTTGAGATAATTCATTTTTTTGTACGTTTTTATTTTTAAATGCTGATTTGTAATAAAAAATGACAAAGCTCAAAAAAATGATCTTTTTTTTGTATATTTTCTGGTATTCGATATCCCAACAATTCCTTGAGATAACAGTAATTTGAAGTAATAACATTAAATTTCATGTCGTGGACTTGAAATTGTAGGAAATTGACGTAGGTATGGAAAGTATCGTACAAGTTATTAAAGTAAGTTACATAGATAATAGATATACATAGGGTATACAAATAAAAATTATAATATTTTTAATGAGCGTATGCTGTTTTTCTTATGTGTAGGAAATTGATGTAGGTATGGAATGTATCGTACAAGTTACTAAAGTAAGTTACATAGATAATAGATTCATTCCCTAATTCATAGGGTATACAAATTAAAATTATAATATTTTTAATGAGCGTATGTTGTTTCTTATGCAACCCATTTTACAAAATTTTTAAACGCTGCAAACGTCGCCACCTACCATGTTTAGCGTGAACTATTTTTGACACTAGAGTAACGCTGCATGTAAGCTGTACAACAACCGCAGATTTCTGGGTTTATAATAAAGTAATAGAACAAACCTACATTCCAAATTGATCCGCAAGAGGGCGCTAAGAGTACAAAAAAATTGTTTTTCCTCGTTCACTCTTAACACGTTCAGCACGATTCCAGTAAAATTTGGTATGTGGATATGCTTATAAAAATTAGAAATATTTTATATTTATTTTTCAACATTATGTCCATTAAGGTCAACACTTTTTTACCATCGATGTTCAAGCATTAAATTACCTTTTTTTTTCACGAATATCATATCGTTTGAATGGGTGCGTTATCCTGATGCAAAAGAACACCGTTGCGGAAATTTTCCTGATGTTTTTCTTTTATCAACTGACGTGGTTTTTAATAAGTACATATAATTGTGGTCCCTTTCTGCAGGAAATCTACCAATAGCTCACCTTCAAAATCCCAAAACACGGATTACATTAACTACCCAATTAAGATTGCATTGTGAATTTTTTCGGTGGTGGTGGGTCCCGATGAGCCCATTCCTTGTTCTGTATTTTGGTACACAGCGAACATAGTGTTTCAAAGTCAAGGAATAAGATAAATAATCGCGGGCTGATATCGAATAATATACATCCAATGAACAAAAATCGATAATAATCGCTCATGTTGGTAGTGAAAAAGGGTTTATTTCAAACTGTTTATTAATTTTTAAGTCAGGCTATAAAAATGATGTAATGAACAGTTCTAATTATAAAAAAATGTCTTAGGGAAAAATAAATACCTAATTTACCACCTAATTCAGTTATTGTTGCCGACAATGCTCTGGTTCTATACTGTAATATTCAAGTTGATCCTGTTCCAAATTCAAATTCAAGAAAAACAACCCCAATTATACAAACTCATAAAACAAAACAAGGAAAAAGATATTCGCTACAAATTTAATCAAATATTGGAAGGACACGACCTTCCCCTTCATCTTACCATCGCGATTTAAATCCGATCGAGATGATTTGGGCAAAAGTCAAAGGGAAAGTGGCAAAAGAATTTGTAAAGTACAATTCGAAAAAGACATTAAGGTAATAGAGAAAAGATCAGGAATGGACTCGCGGTTAAGCTCAAAATAAAAATAAAATTAAATGTTTTTTTTTACGTTAAATGATATGTGTAGCTACTGTTTGTAAATAAAAAGCGTGTTATACGCTATACTATACTATTTATAAAATTGTATCGTATTTCCGGTGAATTAAAAAAACTAAAAAAACGTTCAGGTGCATATAAAATTCGCTCTTTGTGAACCTAATGTTTACAACTATTTTACGCAAATAAATTAACATAACTATTATAACTCAAATAATAGGAAACGGTTACTGTATATATATATAAGTAAAAAGGTATACCTAAATATAAAGAAAACGGTCAGAAAAAAAATGATGCTCTTTTTCTTCTATTTGATATCGTTGATGCTTTTGCTTATTAATGCAGGTGAATATTGTGCTATTAATAGAATTTTAAATAAGTAAAAAAAAACGTCATTTTAGTATTTACAAGCCTTGCAAAAGACAAAGAAAATTTCGTGTGCGTTAATGGCGATATTATTGAACTAGAAAATGTTTGCGATGGTATAAAACATTGCGTCGATGGTTCAGATGAGACAATGAAATTGTGTTTTCATATAATGTAAGTATGATATAGATATATAAAACAAAGAAGGGGTAGGTGTATATCATTTTATTATAAGCTCCACAAAGATTCAGAATAAGGACTACCTATGACTTTTGAGCAATTTATCCGTAGGTTTTTCTTTAAAATATACGTTGCATCTGTACCAGTTTACGCTGGGGTAGGCCAATTCTTTTTTGTTTTCCATATTTCCATATTTTCTCTTTCAAACGCATCCAACAATAACTTTTTCATATTGGTGATTGTCACTGTGTGTAACATTTAAAATTAAGACGAACACTGTCTTTTTATAGTTGTCCACCTAGCATGACAAGATGCTTTTATGGCGCTTGTATTGGTAAAGAAAAACTTTGCGATGGTAAATCTGATTGCGTAGATGATTCAGATGAAAATAACTGTTCTGGTAAATTACATATTTGCGGGTAAGCTATAAACTATAATTTCATCATCATCATCATAAGGTCGTCAGTCCTAAAACTGGTTGGACACGCACCTCCACCCTGTCCCACCCAGGGCAAATCTTCGCATTTGTCTAAAACTAGAACATCCCACATCCTTAACTATTTGTGAACATCAGAAATCTAATCTAGGTCTACCTTTATTCCTCCTAACTACTGTTTCTGCTTCTAATATTTCTCTGACTAGACCTTCATGTCTGAGAAGGTATTCTACCAATGTATCTCGCCTATTTCTTATTGACTTCCATAGAATCCTCTGTTCTCCTATTTTTTCTAATACCTCATCATTTCTAACCTTCTCTATTCACGGTATCCTCATCAGTAGCCTGTAACAGCACATTTCGAACGCTTCCAACCTTTTGTTTTCCACCGCGCCCACCGTCCATGTTTCGCACCCATACAGCACCGCGCTCCAAACATACACTTTTAACAATCTTTTTCAAATTTCTAAATTAACCGTTCGGAAGCATAGAAATGACTTCTTTTTACTGAAAGCGACTCGACCCTGCGTTATCTTATGCTTTATATCCCTACTGCTCCTTCCGTCCTGACTTATCTGACATCCTAATTCCCTATAATCGGCAACTTCTTCTAATTTTTCGTCTCCTATCTATATATTCGCTATTTCCCTACTTTTTTCTCCCTTGCATACCGGTATTTTAGTTTTAAAAAAAGTTGGAAAAATATCATGAAACCAATTGTAAACAGTCTGGTATAAAATTAATCACAAAAATTTTAAAAGTTAACAGTTACGTAATATAAGGCCTGTTTTACAATTGAACGTAAAATATTAGCGTGAAAATTCATTTTTAATTTTCCATTCACTACTAAACTACCTTAGGTTATTGAGAGAAAATTTATGTTGCTGTTGTCATACCCCGCCGGGAATCGAACCCGGTAGGGTCGATTTGTCGTGGTTGCTGTTGTTATCTCTCGTAGCTTAGAGGTCATAGCATTGGTGCGTAAAGCCAAAGGCCTCGGGTTCGAGTCCCGGCGAGGGTGTGACAACAGCAACAAAAATTTTCCCTTAATAACCTGAAGTAGTATGTAGTTGATGGAAAATTGGAAATGATTTTTCATATTATTAACCATTATTAATAATTAAAAATGTTATAAACGTAAAACAATAACAAAATTGATTTTCGAAGTACAGGCAAATAGATCAAGCAAATTAGATTTTTTACACCACGGTCATCTAGGACAAAGTGGATAGAACAAACCCACATGATACTTTAAAGAGGTCATCAACTCATAAGATGTGTGTGATGTGTTTTTTTGCTTATAAAAAACAAGCTTAATGTTTAAGGTAAAAAAGTGATAAAAATCGTAGGTATGAAAAGTACTAATTAGATGTACCCAGATGCGTCAAAATTGGTTTAACCCCATTACAGTTTTAGCGGTTTTTTGCTATTTGCTGAAAACTATTGAGCCGATTTTGACGTATCGGGGCTCATTTAGTTAGTATTTTTCATACCTACGTGTCTCATAAGCAACTTCTTTATGGTAAATTTGAAGCATTCGTTTTATAATAAAAAAACATGTCTTATGGGTTTATGCTCTAAACAATCACGCACCTTTAGGCTCGAGTTTGTTTTATACACTTTTCCTTATATAATCCTGGTGTAAAACATCGGGTTTGAATTTTTTCTAGTTTTTGGTATTTTAAAGCTAATTATAGGTATAAAATAATAGGTACATAGGTATAAGGCTTGAAATATTGTTCATCATCATCTTCATAAGGTCGTCAGTTCTAAGACTGGTTGGGCACGCACCTCCACTCTTTCATATCCTGAGCTAATCTTCGCATTTCCCTAAAACTAGAACAATCTCCATCTTTAACTATTTGCGAACAGTAATCTAATCTAGGTCTACCTCTACCCCTCCTAGCTCCCGTTTCTGCCTCTAATATGTTTCTGACTAGACCTTCATGCCTGAGAAGATGTCCGACCAACCTATTTCGCCTATTTGTTATTGACTTCCATAGAGTCCTCTGTTCTCTTATTCTTTCTAATATCGTTTCATTTCTAATCGTCTCTATCTACGGTAACCTCATTCGCCTGTAACATCACATTTCGAACGCTTCTAATCTTTTCTTTTCCGCAGCGCTCACCGTCCATGTTTCGCACCTGTACAGCGCCGAGCTCTAAACATACACCTTTAACAATCTTTTTCAAATTTCTAAATGAATCGTTCACGAGATTCGACCCTGCCCTATCCTCAGCTTTATAGCCCTACTACTCCTTCCGTCCAGACTTATCTGACTTCCTAGATACCTAAAATCAGCCACTTTTTCTAATTTTTCATCTCCTATCTTTATATTCGCTCGTTCAAATATTGTTGTTAAAAAAATTAAATAAAATTGTAAAATAGAACATATGTGTTTACAAGATAACATCAAATTAACATATAAAAAATGATATACAGGGTGGTGCATAAATTATACGGAGTAACGGTGGATCCTAGATTTCAAAATAGCAGTTACTTATTAACATAATTGTTGAAAAGATGTTATGTTAAAAATTGACAAAATATTGTTATAAATTTCCTAAAACAAACTCATAAAGACAGGATATCTTCCGTTTGTAAGAACGAGAAAAACGATATGCCTTTAGTGTGCATTATTTATTGGGGATTTTGTCTTCTTATTTCGACTATACTATAGTTATTATTTACATAGGCGTAGATAGGTTGGGACATGGGAGCTCATTACCCCCCTCCTTGGAAAAAGGATCTGACGAGTGAGAATATCAGCACAAGTTTAAAGACATAGAAACCAAATGCATTAAATCTATATAAACTTACTGCTATTGAAAATCTGCCCCCTCCCTTAAAAGAAATTTCTTGCTACGCACATGATTATTTGGCTGCCCTGTATATTAAGTGCCGACAGTTCTCCTATAGTTGGGACGATTAAAATTGGCAAACTCCGCAATAAATTATCAGTTAGAATGGACGTACCCTCTCTGTTTTTTTTCCGCTTGGTATTTTAGTAATTTGCTGCGTTTTAAACACGTCCTTGTTAAGTTAGGAAATGATTCATGAAAAGGCAGACAAAGTGAAAAGAGATAACCGAATAATAGTAAGCGCTGCAGCAGTTAGATCTTGCTTAGGTACGCAAAAGATCAGGATCGGCTTTATAACTCCCTGGCTGAAATTACAATTTTAAACAAGCGTCTTTGTTTTCCTAAATTGTTGAACTTTTTTTGAAGTGAAACTTCTTTAGGCACGATAGGGTAAGTTCGTTTCATGCGAGTGGCTATGTATCGAAATCATGCAACGCATTTCCCCCGCTGTCTGTCCCTATATATGCTTAGATCTTTAAAACTACGCAACTGATTTTAATGCGGTTTTTTTAATAGATAGAGTAATTCATGAGGAAGGTTTATATGTATAATACATGCATCTTATAGAAGAGAAACACTGATAATTTTTGAGGTTTGTAATGTAAATAAATACATTTTTTTGCGTTTACATTGCAAACGTTGGCTGAACCCTACGAGATAGATCGAAATAATGTACTACACTATTGTACACCTTAAAAAGGTCTACAAAAAAGTCCGCGATGGTATATGTCTATCTCTTACGGATAACCCACAATAACTATTTCTTATCATTGTGAATTTAATATAGATCAATATGGCCCTTTACAGCATGTAATTTAAATTAATATTTTCGAAGATATTACAGACTTAAAATGCAGGGACATAGCGGTTGTCTAATGACAAAAAAAGCTGTGATTGTTGTATATAAAGACATTCTATAGTATATTTACTATCAGCATTGCACCCGTGCGAAGCATAGTGTACAAATAATACCATTATACCAATTCCTTATCCCCTATCCCGATATGTTTGTGTGTTTGAAGAAGTTTCATTTCAGTATTGTGTTGTATAATTACACGTTCTAATTTTTTTATTAAAGTCCGATGACGACAATAAGCTCCTATTCCGCTTGTCTGCATCTCTTTCTGTTACACAGCAATTGGTGTAATCTTATTCCTTTTTCTTTATTAGTGTTCGCTGCAATTCCTACCTGACATCTCTTTTCTATGTTTACCATATTCCCCACAACGTCTGCCGTGAGTAAAAGTAGGCGTGTTGTCAGCAACCGCTCTAGTCTAGTTAATAAGTTGAAAGAAGAAAGTAAATGCGACAGTTTTATTGCAGACTATGCCAATTTTGAAAGTCCCAATTAATGATCTCAACTTTTAAAACTGAAGAAATTTCTAATAAGCTCGCATGGAAGCTTGCTTACGTCCTATTCTTTGTGAACCACCCTGTAAATATTTATTTATTATTAAGTTAAATCTCTTTGTTAAGAAAACAACAGAACACATGAAAAAATGATTTTTTTTATTTACTACGTATTTAGAATGAACGAATTCAAATGCACCTCTGGAGAATGCATTTCTTCGGAAAACATATGCGATGGGGTTTCGCATTGCTTGGACAAGTCTGATGAAAATGAGGTGTTATGTGAAGACGATTTATGTCCCGATGACGCATTTCATTGCAATCATGGCGGCTGTGTTCACATGGACGCTCTTTGTAACGGTTTCAAAGATTGCGTAGATGGCTCTGACGAAACAGAAATTGTCTGTAAAATGAAAAACTGCGGGAAAAATTGCGATAAAGGTGAAAATTAGTCAATTTAATAGTTTACTAATGTAATACATAGGCGTGGAACCATGTACATATTTCCTATAACATAAGTAGAGATGTACCGAATAGTGGTTTTGCCGGGTACCCAGCACCGTTAGGTTCATGTCGTCGTTCTAGCGGGTTTTTCCTTACACACCATTCTACCCAACGTCTGAAACAACATTATATTTCGTTCAAACATTATTAAACTAATGAAATTTTAATTCCCATTTGACTTATTTTCAACGAATGGGCTGAGTTGAAGGCACTGAAACGAGGCTATAATCTTTATAAACACTAAAAGTCTGGTGCTAAGGTGACAAAATTATACTAATAAGTTTTTTTTAATTAACAAGCGATATATGTTGTAACATTTACCAATTTCCATTAGGTACGTCTTTGATATACTTATTAAAATATTAAATTTTACCCGCGGCTCCGTTTGCGTTAATGCCCTAAATACGTGTCAACCCCGATTTTTTTCTATCCCTTCAGAATAGCAGTTTTTTGACGTGACAACGTCTTATAATTCGATGCAGCCGGCTGCACGCTCGAAAAAACATGACTCATGCGGCGTTACCTCGCTCTGAGGCGTTCCATTTAAGGCTTGAAGTGCAAGCGAGAGCGCGGAACGAGCGACAAAGAGGCACAATCGGCCTCCGCGTTCGGCAGCGTTCGACATCTGTCTCTCTCCTACTTGAGTGAGCGATGCGTCCGCGTGGACAGCTGCTATACAATAATACATTTCCATTTACCTCCTTCTCTCTATCCATACAAAATATCTATCAAACAAATAAAATTAAGAGCGAAACTCACTCAACCTACCATTATTACAAAATCGTAAGAAAAAATTTGTTAAATTATTATTATCTTTATTTCCAATAAAATCATAAAGTTTCGCATGGGTAGTGGCGGATCTTGGACATTGGGATTGGACACATTAAAAAAAAAGGAAATAAAATACAAAGCAAATCATAAAATTCCAAAGTAGCTTTTATTTGTTTATAAGAAATGCATAACCAATTAGAATATCATATAAATTAAAATTGACTTAAATTTTGCTTGTCCAATTTATAAAAAGTTGGTTAAGATAGAACCGAAATTATGAATCATTTCTTTTGATTTCGCAAAAACACATTTTCGAGAAAACACATGTCACCTTCCGACACTTTTCAGTGCTTTTATATCATATAAATCAAAATTGGCTTGAACCTAATGGGTTAGAAAAGGTGAAATAAAAAAAAAATTACCCTTTAAAAGAGTTTTTTATCGGTTTTTTTATTATTTTTATGTGTCCAGTTAAAGAAAACATATCATGCCCTCCTGTGTTTTCTGAACGTTTAAATATTATTTGCGAAAGTAAAGAAGGACCAAAACAAGGGTTGGTTCCATGTAATAAGCCAGCATCTGTAGGAACTATCGCGAAGTACGGATGCAAGCCCTTTTACGTACCAGCTGGCAGTAGTCAGGAAAATAATAAGCAAATGGTTTGTCAAATGGATGGTAAATGGAGTAGAGAAGCTCTGAAATGTGAACCAGGTCAGTTTTGAATTAAACAGCTACTAATTATACTTATGAAGAATGTACATAAGGTGAAATGATATAAAGGGGGTCACACACAACTTAATTAATATCAGTTGACCAACTTGACTATTAAGTTGTGACCGGCACTTCTACAGTTCTTCATCATCATCATCATAAGGTCATCAGTCCTAAGACAGTTCTTATTGTTATAATTAAAGGGTTTAATAGAAATAAGTGCCGATCTTTGGAGGGTGTAAACTAGATGCAATAACAATCGCACAACGAATTTACCAGCGTGGTTAAGGTCCAATTTCTATTTTAATAAAATCACAATACCGAAGCCGGTCCTGTGCGTGAATTAGCAACATAGGTGTCTACCCAATAACGTACTGCGACAAAACCTCTGCAGATACATGAATGGAACATGTAAACATTTCCAATTATCGAATGTCGAAGATAAACATAAACAATCGCACGACAAATTTACCAGCGTGGTTAAGGGCTAATTTGTTTTAAGGAAATTACTACAATTTGCAATCTGAACCCGGTCCTGTGCGTGAATTAGCAACTTAGGTTACTACCCAATAGCGTACTGCTACTACATATAATAGAATTCGACTCATTTTATTCGATTATGGTAACGTGCCTATCACGTTGAGGTTAGCTACGCCGGGATTCGTTTCAGCAAGAAGATATCCATATATTTAAATGGACCTTGTTGGAGCATACGTAATCCTAAAATGTAGCATCGTACTACAGATGGCGTTTACCGCGCCATTTGTGGTATTTTCTA